TTTTAGCATACATGATCAACGTTTAACGTATTATCAACGTGTTAATATAATATATTAACATATTATATAATATTCATTATTTGGGTAAATAATACTTTTATATTTTATTTATTTATTTATTTATTTTTTTTTGTCTTCAGTTTTTGCGCTTGTTTGTTTGGTGAATATATAAAGTGTGGCGCTGATAAGTGATAACACGATATTTTGAAACATAGTCAGACGTATTATACCTACGTAAAAATTTTACACGCGTGGACAAAACTTATCGCGAAGTTCGTCATCATTTTGGATACAAAAGTCACCCGTGTATTGTTATTTCAAGTTTTAAAACGACGAATCATCTGCATCGCTACGTTGTTATAACAATTTTAAATGGAACTCGTCAACTACTAATAAAAAAATTACACTCCGTATAGAAAGTTTTTAAATACAATTTTGTGTTTAAAAATCGTTAGTAATCAATAGAAAAACTAGGAATAATTCGTTTCTTCGTATAAAAAATTAAATTCAAGTGTCATATTCAGAAACTATGAACTTATCGAGGATAATAAGATAAACCGATAGTTAAGATTATAAATCACGATTCTTTGTCTGAAAATTGTAAAAACTTGTAATGAAAAAATAATTTTATTAATAATTAATTTTATTATCAAGGAGTATGTAAGAAAGCGAAAATTTAGGCAAACGCTACAAATAAGTTTTTGACTTTACTTAAATTATCAGCACGTGATGTTTGTTTGACATAAAAAAAAATTACTACATAAATGTTGCAGCGATATGAAATTAAAAACACAAAATGTTTTTGTGTGGCATTAAGTAATTATAAAAACACGTCATCATTATAACCAAATATCTCAAAGCTTTTATTTAGATTTAAAAAATTAAAATTCCTCCCTTTCGTAATAATTTTGAAAACATCCGGCATTGTTATACCTTTAACATTAAAAAAAAATAAATATACTTACGAGTTTTAAAGATTTTAATTTTTCAACTAAACATTTAACAAATGTATCAAAGTATATAATACGTATAATACGATGATGGATACGACCGGCTATTTATTATATTGTTTTACGGAACAAAACATGCTTTTGCAGCGATTCTTTTCTACATACACTGTGGAAAAAATGTTAAATACTATTTTAAATCTGCACGGAATAGACAAAACGAGCCAACAGATGATACCCACTCATTACCGAGGTCGTGGAAAATCTTGCAAACACGGTTTTCGTGGGTGGTGGTGGCGGGTGCGCGACCGAGCCATTTAAGGTCAAGCCACGGTTGACCCCGACGGATGAGAACCATATTAAACCGCGCGTGTACCTATAAACCTTACGGTATAATATTATATGGGCCCGTTAGCATTCGTTGGGTGTATGATGATGGAGATGATGATAATAATAATAATATCGGTAACCGGTTCCGATATAGCACGGAATTTAGCGCCGCCAACAGTGGACTTGTGTAGGAAATCGGAAATTCCTAAAATGACATCTTATATTAAAATAATAATATTTTTTAGTACGTTTTTATACCTGCATTACTAAACTTGTTAAATTTACCCTCCATCGGCAGACATTAAATGACAATTAATATTATAATTTATAATTTATAATACAATAAAATCATTTTTTTATTTACAAATTACAAAGTGGCTTGTTTAGATAAATATTTTGAGTTTAATAACATCGCTCATTGATGTTTTTTCTTGATAGATATTTTTAGATTTAATGTTTTTATTATTGATTTAAAATTATAAATATAATTTTAAAAAAAATTTTTCTTGTGTAAGTATTTATTATAGATATCAAATATGTATAGTTAATTATTAGTGATATTTTTGAAGTTTGCATAAACGAAATATTTCCAGTAAAAACTCGAAAAATATATCTTTTAAAGTCTATATATATATATATATATATTATATTATATTCATACAACTTGCATAAAGTATTATCTATAAATCTATATAATAAATTTATATGATTTGTATAACAATATTTTACTTTTAAGTATTAAATACTTAAAACTAAAAATAAGAACTAAAATTAAGTATTAAGATTTTAAAAAAAATGTTAATCTAAAAAATTAACACTTAACTTTAACTATAAAAATTCAATCTTAAACAAACATACGAATTAACTGTTGGAAAAAAAATTGTTTTAATTTCAATTTACTTGATACAGTTAGTAACTGAGAAACAGCAATTGCATTATACGATAGGTACCTATATCAAGGATTTTTAAATTTATTTATTTTATTTTAAATTGAATAAACAGAAAAAAGTAAATAAAAATTAAAAAATATTTATTAAAACATCTTTTAGTCTAAAAATATAATTAAAATAAAGATTGCATCAATAAAAAAATTTTTCATCATTTAATTCATATAGATCGATATTATCAGCAAGCATTTCATATTCTTCCTGTAAACTATAAATTGTGAAATAAAATACACACGTTTGGTTTTCTGCAGTTTCTCTACGTATCTAATATGAAATGTAACCAATTATTTAAACAACACGTCACAATTGCAAGTTACAATAATATAACACAGTATATTATAATGAATGTAACAGATAGATAATGATTTAATTAATTTACTTTAATGAAAAACATTATAAATAACGGCCACGACAATAATGATATTACATACCCCGAAGCCAAAAAATATGGTAAATTAATATTTTTATAAAATCAACAATGGTAACCACGGAAACGGTGGTCACGAAGGACGGACACCACGGGACTTCGTATTGAAACCCAAAACTATGACTGCCATTTTAAAATCAAAAGTCAATACTATTTTAACGTATTGTATAAGCTGCAGAGAACGGGTAAAACGAAATGAAAAAAAAAAAACAAAACAAAACAAAACGTCCTATCATGGAATAATAATAATAATATAGCCGTATTGTTACCTACTCGTATGATTAAAAAAATAGAAAATTCTCCACTAAATCTGAAAAGGATTTGTAAAATTATAATGTCCCACGGCACATCGGGGGGGGGGGGGGGATTTATCACTGAGGAACATCGGGCAACAAAGTTACAACAATATGATGATTTGTATTATCACGTAACTACTATACTCGTACAGTACCTATTTTACGACAATACCTCCTTGACATTCGTAGATGAAGACCTGCCGCGCGTAGGTGCTGTATAATAATACATCGGAGGCGTAAATTCTCACGATTATATTTTTTATTTTTCGTCTTGGTATTAGCTACAGAAAAAAAACCGTTTAAGAAGCTATTGATGGTTTTATACAGTTATTACATTAATATGTATGTGCGCACGATATTCTGCGATATTTGGTACTGCACTAACACTATTATTATAGCTCTATCGACTATCGTACACGAATGACTTGCGACTTGCACATTTAATTTTGTATGGTAAGGCGGCGGCAGCGGCACGTAAACACGATTTTTTTTTTTTATCGAAACAGTTTGTTTTCCCTTCCGGGCATACAATAAAGATCCCATTGACGGCAAGTCGCGTCCTTAAAGTCGTCGTTTTATGGGTTATTATATTAGTTTTTCTAATTTTATTTTATTTTTTTGAAAAACAATTCTTACACCTATGATCGAAACAGTAATAACTCTTAACGAGATCGTGATAACCTGTTGTTATTTTCCATTTAATTCTTACTACCTATGGAATTTTGATAAGCCGCACAATTTCCGCAACAATTGTAATCACGTATCATTAATATAAACTAGACTTAACGATAAAAACCAATGTCAAATGACCAGCAGTTGAGAGTTTGTTTTAAGTTGTGTAATTCAGCATAATTTATTATTATCGCATTTAAAATATAAATTTTGGATAAAAATTGAATCGGTATTCAATTTCAAATGATTAAACAGATCATAGCAATATTGCTTAACTTACATAACACCTTGGTTCTCTCGGGCGATACTCGAAACCACTGCATTGATATGCGAATTATAATTTGTTAAATGTTGTATACACAAAAATACTACACAAATATTTGACATAATATGTTTTATCACACTTATTATCATATTTTAGATGTATTATGATCTAAAAATATACCATCATCTATAAGTTATATTAAATCGATTGAGCTCAAAAATAATTTTTGTTGAGAGCGTTAAGACCATATAGATATATTAATATAGATTTATACGGAATATGACATGATACAATATCGTCGTCAATAGTTCAATTCGTTTAAAGATAATAATAATATAAAATTTATGTAACCTATAACCGTATATAAATGCAAATTTTAATATCTAATATCCCACGCCCAATTTTTATTGAATCTATCAAACGTTGTGGGTATTCAAACTCCGCGTAATACGCTCGGTGGTATCTACAATATAGCAGCAAAAGGTACTCTAAAAAACTAATCTAAGAAACTGTATATACACAAAACGAATATTGTAGAAAACGTCCTGTATTTCGGAAATTCTAATACAATTTCGTTTTAATATCGACAACCGAAATACATTTCCCATCGACTGTCGTTTGGTTACCAAATTATTTCGAGACCTTCTACATAATATAATATAAATAGATTCGTAGATACCAGCTATATTCAATATTATACTACTTTTATTTATACTATAATATATATATATATATATTATGTAATTGCGTTTTGGTGATTTTCAACAACACAATGTCGTTTAAGATAGAAAAAAATCTTTTATTAACAACAAAACATAAAACATCTGTTATTAATAGGCTTATTATTAGAACTCTGCGTAGGTAATTACAAAATCAGCTTATGTTTGGCTAATAAATTATTTTTGAACTTTTGATCAATTTTCATCATACAATTCTGCATTAGACTGTAAATTTATTTAGTCGCATACTAATTTCAAGATTGATAAGCGCTGTTCTATTACTCACAACGATGGTATAATATTGGGATGTTCTATAATACTTGTGTGATTAATAATTATTATCAATATTTTTACTAAAACTGTATTACTCTATTGTTGATAAAAAATAATTATGTACCTAAAACGCAACATTCGTCCACGCCACAGTCTTCTGAGCTCTGGCACCCGAGGAACGACGGTTTACTTGGATATGCGGCCACTGTAGCCACCAAAATTGTAACCACGGCCAACGATAATTTTCCCATATTGTAGTTATTTAATTTGACTTTAATTTTCTATGTTATCTGGAAATAAAAAACATTAAGTTAGCATTTTTAAACAATATCATCGTTATATTTCTGCTCAACCAATTTGTCGTATATAATAATATATTAAAATATGGCCATATTCACTACAGTCAAACTTAAAAGTTTGTAGTTTAAATTTGTTACAAATCTTATCAAAATTTTGAACCAAAAAATATGTTAATATTAAAACATTATAATATAATATACGCATACCGTATAAAATATAAAATTATTTGTGTTGTAAGATAATTTATGTATTTCTGATGTTTTCGATTAAAATATTAATTTGTTAGTACATATCTGTTGTGTAACATGTCAACATTATACTACAATAAATAAGTATATTTTAAGTATATTTTAATAAAACAACAATTTTTTGTAAACTCATATGATAAATGGATAAACATTCGTATTAGATAGAGACAATAAATATGAAAAACTTGAATTAACATTAAATACACAACTATGCTTTTATATTGTATAAATACTAAAAATACGTGATATATTTAATTTAAACAATGATAAACAGTGAAGGTAACAAACAACACTGTTATAAACAATTCAGAATAGAAATTTTATAATATATCTCAAACATACCAAGAATAGATAAACTTTGAGTACATTTTGTTATTTAATTCGGTGAATACAATATTGTAACTCTCTACAAGTTTACCAAAAAAATAATATGTCATTAAGTACTATGTGTCTATGCAAATTATCTATATTTTAAAATATTATGTAATATTGCAATGCACTGCATAATGTATAGATAATCTTAACTTAATATAATTCAGACATATGCTATGACTTTATATATTTTAGACGATCGGTGAAAACTGATATTATAATCCATAAACCTACAATAAGATTGTAATTTAATCAATCTCATAGCGTCGAGTTTCAAATTTTTTTAAATTTTCCTTTTCACATGCCTTACTAAAATCGTAAGTCAATTTTTCGAATTCTTTAACTCTTTAATACGTACAATATGCTCAACGCGCTAATACAACCGAATAAAATCTGACACGTTTTTTATCACTCCTCATAGGTGGTACATTGACAATTTAGCGTATCAGCATTAGCATTATAAATAAATCCATTATACATAAAATGTGCACATACTTTTTTTTTGCTGACTATTCTACCAATGGATTTATCCTATTATCAACATCAAAAATTATTTGTATACATTCTCTTCATCAAAATTACTGCTTTGTGAAAAATCGCAATCTCATTGAAAAAGCATAATATATATTTTATATTCTGTCAATTAAAAAAAAAAAAAAAACATTGCAACTATTGTAACGCGTATAGTCACAAATAAAAAAAAAAGTTAAAATAATAAACCTTAATTCCGATAACAACACTGGCGCTGACGTTGTTATATTTTACAACCAATATCCGTTTAACATATAATAACTAAAACCTGAATTTGGATGCCCTAAAAACTATTAGAAAATATTCTAAACAACAATAAATGCCTTTTCAACGTAATTCAATATCTATAAAAAATTTACTACATTTCGTTGATGAGCACACTGACAAAAGGAAAATAACAGTTTAGTTTTTAGAATTCTTAAAACTTCTTTATCTTAACTAAACTAACAATAATACAAAAATAAAATACCAAACTTAGACATGCAAACAAAAATAATAAATAATATAGGTACTTGAAATAAACGTGATCACGATATAACTTAAATTAACTAATTAATTTTAATTTTGTGAGTTGTTTGAGTCCCATTAAGACATCATATCCGTTAGTAACTGTTAATAAATAAAGATGTTATATCTTTATTACATTCACCTTGATAAAAAAAAAAAAGATTAATATTTGGTATGGTGAAAAAATATCTAAAAAAGCAAATATTACAGAAGCAATATTTTTTGAGGTAATATTTTAAATTTCCTAATTTATACTAAAAACTCGTACAATTTATCAATTTATTCTAAAAACTAATGAAATTACGTGTAAATGCTAAAATTAAAAAAAAATAAGTTTCATCTTTTAAATATCTATTGCATTAAATTAAGTTTGTATTTGTAATTCATTAAAGCACCTACCTAATATATAATACACATTACATATAAATTCAATACACAATAATAAAATGATGTACAATTTATAAAATAAAGCTATCGATGGTGTCGGTGAACAAACGTTTATTATTTATATTTTAAGTTCTAAAATACTTGGAACTGATTTCACGGTACGACTAGATATAAAGACGAGTAATAACACGATAGCGTTGTCCTCCCTGTCGTGTGATACATTACATAAAGTCGATATTACCACAATACTGGAGTCATAGAATACCGATTACCGACGGCATAATAATAATAAAATCATCGCGCACTGTTTTTTTTTTTTGAAATTCGATAGCCACGCGACGAAGATGACTGACTTCCGATGATGCAACAGACAAAATAACAATAATATTATTATTACAGTCTCATCATAGGCAAACTTAACGAAATCATAATCATATAAAATATCATTATACGGTGCAATATTATAAAGATATATTATTATCTACTTTCGGTGGTAAATCTGGTCTCTCGGATCAACCAGGTTAGATTACGTACCAGCGAGAGTACACGCACGTACATTTCGCGCACGAAATATAGGTTTGAAAATAATCTTAAATTCGTCGAATCGCGGGCGTGCACGCGACCTAATAATCTTCTAATGTGGCGTTTTGAGTATGAACAGTATGATAATTGTTATCATAAATCGTTTCGTATCCGAAATATGTATTTCATCATTATATGGACGTGGATTAAATACTTAGGTCTTAGATATAATATATATTATACAACTATTCATAACTAGTGAGTATACAGTGTATTGAATTTATGTTGGTGCAATACCTATACTAGTATGTAGATGTGAAGTTTACGTAAAGACATTTTTAGAGAATTCAACACGAACTTTTTACGATTGCGATAAAATCTAAATGAAATTAACCGTTTTTCTAATATACCTACAACGCTATAAAATAATAACATTTCATCGTGTCATTTACTACTTAGATACAGTACTTGTATCAAGAGATCAAAACTATTTCTCAATACTTCATACTAAAAAAAATGTATTTATATGGTTTAAATTGCTTAATTCTTACATGATCAAATATTTATCAGTTTATAACGTAATGATTTATATTTAATTAATAAGGACTCAAATCACACATTATTTGTTTTATTAAATGTCATTGGGAATTTAGTTATAACAACATTTTATCAACATGTATTTATAATTTTATAATATGTATTTTAAATAAATGTACAAAATTTACAAAAAAATAAAAGGTTAGATTATGTTGAATTATACTTGTCATCAATTTATAAATATTACAATTTAAGTAAACTTAAACTAACTCAATATATTATATCGTTTAAAACCCCATATAAATGAATTGAAATATCTCAAATGTTAAGACTGTTAAAAACTTCCAACATATGTAAATTATATAGTAAACTATAATAAATATTTGGTATAATTCATTATTTTCTTATTCTTAAAAAAAAAAAATCTGAGTATAATATGATACAATAAGTAAATTTTGTGTTTACCGAAATGTTTATTTCTGTTAACATAAAAGTGATACTAATAATTTAACACAGAGTTGAGTCACCAAACATAAGGCTGTTTACATTTAGTTAAACTTTAAATTATTAAGTACGTTTGGTATTTAGTATTTACATAATACTAAAACTTAAGTACTTTAAAACTGTATAGTAAGAAGATATGTTCATAATAAAATCAAATATCAACAATTGATAATATTTTCGGCAAAACCACATTTAAATTGTATTGAAAAAACTCAGGATTTAAATAGCGATCATCCAACAAATTTATTATAATATACAAATATTGAAATATTCACTGCCAAATTTTAACTGAATAAAATAATTTTACTCGGACAACTTTAAATTAATAGTTTAAAAAGGACTGAAGAAAAATCTTAATTTTTCTTATGGATATACACTTAAATGAAAATGCCAATAATTATCACGTGTTAGATTTAACCTAATCTAATATGATTTGAGCCGAATAAAGTCTTTTGTATTGCAACATAATTTTAAATCTGATGTGTATAATTATATATGTCAAACGATAATAATTCATCGAGGTCATTTGCAGCAAAACACATAAAACACCAGACAAACGTAATGGCATATATTATTATAATTTAAAAATATATACCTATATTATATTACGTCGTTGTCTATAAAAAAATAAAAAATGGTAAAAACTGAGTATTTACGTGATGATAGACGATCAACTATAAATTATAATAACACCGATATACACAGCTATTGTTTCGATTCATATTGTCGCTTGGACAAAACAGTGAACATAAAACACATTCCGGACGAAGCTCTAAGATAGATAAATAATATTATAATGTTAACTACGGTCGATAAGTAGTCAGCACGCCACTATCGACATAATGTAAATGGACGTTTTCATAATCGACAAATCTTAGACTAGCGAACGGGGAAATTTCTTGAAAAGCGGCAACATTTAATTCTAACGACAAGATGCATATATTATTAAATTATATAACTTCCGCTATTACAATTGCCTCAGATTCGACTACCCTATTCATTCTTTATAATAATACACTTTGTAACATACAAATATAAAATAAAAATTTCATATTTACAACACATAACATCATAATATTAACATATTTTTGATACTTATCGATGTTGTTTTTCGAGGTGAAACTATACAAATATACACATAAAATATAATACTATCAACTAATGATAATGATCACTGCATTGTACGACCATCCCAATTCAATATTTTAATCTATTCTATAATTTCAATTAAACCATAAAATATTACTCATATAACATAAAAAATTAAAATATAGTATAGCATACATTAAAATAAAATCAATAGTGAACGAAGAAACGTCGAGCGTGAACACAATAATTTTAAGGTGTATTATGTTCAATAGATATATGTGTTTTATGATTTT